TTTCGTTTTGGTTACCGGTAGTGATGTCTGTCAGGTAAACAGGTACACCAAATGTACCATGTCTTCGTCCCAAATTACACCCTATTCCATATTTAGTGCACTACTTTTCAAAAGTGCACTACTTCTCGAACCTTCAGCTCCCTCCACAGATTTTCTATAGGATTAAGGTCTGGAGACTGGCTAGGCCACTCCAGGACCTTAATGTGCTTCTTCTTGAGCCACTCCTTTGTTGCCATGGCCGTGTGTTTTGGGTCATTTTCATGCTGGAATACCCATCCACGACCCATTTTCAATTCCCTGGCTGAGGGAAGGAGGTTCTCTCCCTTTGATGCGGTGAAGTTGTCCTGTCCCCTTAGCAGAAAAACACCCCCAAAGCATAATGTTTCCACCTCCATGTTTGACGGTGGGGATGGTGTTCTTGGGGTCATAGGCAGCATTCCTCCTCCTCCAAACACGGCGAGTTGAGTTGATGCCAAAGAGCTCGATTTTGGTCTCATCTGACCACAACACTTTCACCCAGTTATCCTCTGAATCATTCAGATGTTCATTGGCAAACTTCATACAGGCATGTATATATGCTTTCTTGAGCAGGGGGACCTTGCGGGCGCTGCAGGATTTCAGTCCTTCACGGCGTAGTGTGTTACCAATTGTTTTCTTGGTGACTATGGTCCCAGCTTTCTGATTGAGAGGGGGTCAAATACTTATTTCCCTCATTAAAATGCAAATCAATTTATAAAATGTTTGTCATGCGTTTTTCTGGATTTTTTTATTCTGTCTCTCACTGTTCAAATAAACCTACCATTCAAATTATAGACTGATCATTTCTTTGTCAGTGGGCAAACGTACAAAATCAGCAGGGGATCAAATACTTTTTTCCCTCACTGTATATCTTGAAAACTTGATTTCTGAAATGCAAAACAATTTGGGACTATATCAACAATGGACTAATGAAACAAATATATCTTAAACTTACACTTAAGATGTGGGAAGATTCTGTGGACAGAGGGATAAAATATACTGTAGTCAACAAGCTAAACACAAGCAGAGAAGCATCAGTGTGGCAGACAAGGTTTGTTAGTAACACTGGATGGCTTTCGTTTATAGAAGATCCTTGAAGTCAGGATATAAGTCTCTAGTAGGAAGGTCACTAGAACAAATACAGCTCTCAACAGTTCCTGGAAAACAGTGCTGGCAAGGACAACAATGCCATAGTCTTCAATGCAACAACAAAAAAAAACTGGTAATTCACTCAGTGTAATGTTCAATAGGGGTTTGTGTCTGTCTGTGTTGGAGTCACATGAAGGAACAGAGAGGAGCAGAGAATAGAAGATGAAGGGGAGGCAACAGAGGGTAAAACTGGAGAATTCTGTCTCTGTCCTTAAACAAGGCTACTTGACTGGGTGGGTCAGTTCAGTAGAGGACTCTCTCTCTCTTTCCACCGGACCGGCCAGTCACTGGGTGGTCCAGTTCAGTAGAGGACTCTCTCTCTCTTTCCACCGGACCGGCCAGTCACTGGGTGGTCCAGTTCAGTAGAGGGTGCCCTTTCTCATTCCACCGGACCGGCCAGTCACTGGGTCAGTCACTGGGTGGTCCAGTTCAGTAGAGGACTCTCTCTCTCTTTCCACCGGACCGGCCAGTCACTGGGTCAGTCACTGGGTGGTCCAGTTCAGTAGAGGACTCTCTCTCTCTTTCCACCGGACCGGCCAGTCACTGGGTGGTCCAGTTCAGTAGAGGGTGCCCTTTCTCTTTCCGCCCGGACCGGCCAGTCACTGGGTGGTCCAGTTCAGTAGAGGGTGCCCTTTCTCTTTCCACCGGACCGGCCAGTCACTGGGTGGTTCAGTTCAGTAGAGGACTCTCTCTCTCTTTCCACCGGACCGGCCAGTCACTGGGTGGTCCAGTTCAGTAGAGGGTGCCCTTTCTCTTTCCGCCCGGACCGGCCAGTCAGATAAACACCAGCCAACACAGGGTGAGAAACATGACCAGCAGTCCAGACAGGAGGGAGAAGGAGACGTGGGACGGTTGGAGCTGGAGCATGGCTGGGTACAGCTGGCAGGCTGAGGGCCCCCTGGCTCTGTCCTCCTCCTCTGGCATGTCGATAGAGACCCTCAGAGTGTGCCCCCGGCCCCGAGCCTCCTCCTCCTCTTCCTCCTCAGAATCATCAGAAGTATAATCTTCTTCCTCCTCTTCCTGTAGATAGTGGTGTCTGAGAGGCGGTGGCCCCCCGGGGGCCGAGGAGGCCTGCTGTTGCTGTCTCAGTAATCTTACCTGGTATGCAAACAGAGGACGCTTCCCTCGCTGTGTTCAGCAATGGGAGACCAAGAAAGACAGAGAACAATGAACAGACATGTGGGGGAGTGGCCAACAGACAGGCAGGAAATAGGGGCGGATGGGAAGGGACAGGGGGACCAGGGGAGGGAGGTGGAGGAGGAACAGGGGGAGGGAGGAAGAGGAGGAGGGGAAGGGATGGGACAGGGGGGAGGGAGGAAGAGGAGGAGGGGAAGAGCTGGGACAGGGGGAGGGAGGAAGAGGAGGAGGGGAAGGGATGGGACAGGGGGAGGGAGGAAGAGGAGGAGGGGAAGGGCTGGGACAGGGGGAGGGAGGAAGAGGAGGAGGGGAAGGGATGGGACAGGGGGAGGGAGGAAGAGGAGGAGGGGAAGGGATGGGACAGGGGGGGAAGGGAGGAGGAAGGATGGTCAGGGGGGGAGATAGGACGCGATGTGGAAGGGATGGTCCCCAGGGGATGGATGAGATTGAGTTGGTGAAGGTGATTCGTGACTAGGTGGAGGACGGATCAGTAGTAGCTGAGATGGGAATGTTGGACAGTGGTGACTGAGGAGAGTGAGGTGGAAGGGATTGGACAGGGGGAGGGAGGAAGTAGGAGGGGAAGTGATGGGACAGGGGTGGATGTGAAATAGGATTGTGGTAAGATGTGGACTAAGGTGAGGGCGGAAGGGTCTTCAGTTATTATGTTTCTTGGAAGTTTCGCGGTGTTCTGGAAGTTCTACTGCGTAGTGAGCGGTAGTCCTCTCTTTCCTTCACTTCTGCTCTGGGCAGTGGGGTATGGTCTAGGATAGTTATAGGACGTCCACTCCATGAGCGGTGGCACAGGTTGGGGCTGTGAGGTTTATTAGTGTAATGAAATGGTCTACTACTGAAGTGAGGGCAGGAAAAGCCGTCTTCAGTTTATTTAATAAAGTTCTCTCTGGAAGTTCTCTCTGCAGGTTCTCTCTGGAAGTTATCTCTGAACTTTGACAGTAGTGAGCGGTAGGTCCCATCACTGAGCTTCAGCCTGACTCAGGCTCTCCTGCTCTGGGCAGTGAGGGTTAGGGTCCAGGGTGGTCTAATCAGGCCGGACCAACCTCCAGTGCAGCGGTGGCAGCAGCAGTTCTGGGGCTGGAGAGGTTTTATGGAGCTCTGCTCCTCCACGGCTGGGGTTAGATTGGATAAAGGCCTTCTCTGGCAGGTAAAATGCAAGCTAGTGCAAACCGTTTGTTTGGCAGTGCAACGTCTTGGATCAGAACACCGTTAGGGGAGAACCACCATAGAAACTGGCTTGGTGCGGGTCGGCTAGACCACAGTGTGCCCTCCTCCTCACTGCATCTTATAGTCAGTCAGTCAATGAGCCGGCCTTAAAGAGATGAGCTTATCAAATGCATTGAGGTCTATTGAGACTTGGGAGGCTCACATTTGGGATTTGTTGGTAATGTGTTCATAAAGATAAGACTGCTTGGCAACTCACCAGACTAGTGTATTATACACTTGTGTTTTAGAAAAACGTTAAAGATGATCATCTCCATTCATAGAAATTGTGCTGTAGGCCTTTCATATAAATATGCCAATACTCAATAGAAATTGAAAGTTAAGAAAAGTTTTTTTGGGGTAAAAGTTCAGAAATGTTCTGATGGAAGTGCTTAATATTCTGCAGGACTCTTCAGGTACACAGACAGGACATGATAAGGGTCTGAGGTAGGCAGGATACCCAGGTAGCTGGAGGCAGCTTCAAGTCTGGCAGTAAAACTGTCTTTTCAGCCCCATGGCAGCAGAGGGGCGAGGGGAGGGGAGCGGAGATGCTCGGTGACCCAAGGCCAGAACACCTCTCTGGGTCTCCGGATCCTCCTCAGGAGAAGTGGGTGGAGGTGGAGGAGGAGGTGGAGGAGGAAGAGGAGGAGGAAGAGGAGGAAGAATAAGAGGAGGAGGAGGAGGAAGATGAAGAGGAGGAGGAGGAGATTGAGAGATGACACATATGGTGGGGGGGGGGGGGGGAGGAGGGAGGAGACAGAGAGAACATAAAACAACCAGTGAGGGAGAGATACAGGTCAGGGAGGAGGAGAGATAATGAAATGAAGAGGAGGATGGGGTCAGTTTTTGTTGTTGTTGTTGGTTGTTTGCTAGTTTAGTTTTTTTGTTCTTCAGTCTCTTATCACTACGTCAGACACGATCATCATCACAGAGTCATGCAGCTTCACTACTATCGGGTCAAACCCAGCCATGCGATTTGATTGGCAGATCAAAGCAGGAAGACAAAGCTGGCAGCAGCCAATCATGGAACGGAGGCATTGGTGAGGGGGCGGGGTTTGGGAAAGGTTAGGGGGTATGGTTTGGAAGGGGGCACCTATAAAGGTAAGTCGCTGCGGGGGCAGTCCTATGGGTGAAGATAGGCAGCTGATTCCACACAGCCTCCATACAGCCTCCACTCAGCCTCCACTCAGCCTCCATACAGCCTCCACTCAGCCTCCACACAGCCTCCATACAGCCTCCATACAGCCTCCACACAGCCTCCATACAGCCTCCACACAGCCTCCACACAGCCTCCATACAGCCTCCACACAGCCTCCATACACACAGCCTCAGCACAGCCTCCACACAGCCTCCACACAGCCTCCACTCAGCCTCCGCACAGCCTCCACACAGCCTCCATACAGCCTCCATACAGCCTCCACACAGCCTCCACTCAGCCTCCGCACAGCCTCCATACAGCCCCCATACAGCCTCCACACAGCCTACACACAGCCTCCATACAGCCTCCACTCAGCCTCCGCACAGCCTCCACACAGCCTCCATACAGCCTCCATACAGCCTCCACACAGCCTCCACTCAGCCTCCGCACAGCCTCCATACAGCCCCCATACAGCCTCCACACAGCCTCCATACAGCCTCCATACAGCATCCATACACACAGCCTCCATACAGCCTCCACTCAGTCTCCATACACACATCCTCCATACAGCCTCCATACAGCCTCCATACAGTCTCCACACACACAGCCTCCACACAGCCTCCACACAGCCTCCACACAGCCTCCATACAGCCTCCATACACACAGCCTCAGCACAGCCTCCATACAGCCCCCATACAGCCTCCACAGCCTCCACACAGCCTCCATACAGCCTCCATACAGCCTCCATACACACAGCCTCAGCACAGCCTCCATACTGCCTCCACTCAGCCTCCATACACACATCCTCCATACAGCCTCCATACAGCCTCCATACAGCCTCCACACAGCCTCCACACAGCCTCCATACAGCCTCCACTCAGCCTCCACACAGCCTCCACACAGCCTCCATACAGCCTCCATACAGCCTCCATACACACAGCCTCAGCACAGCCTCCACACAGCCTCCATACAGCCTCCATACAGCCCCCATACAGCCTCCACACAGCCTCCATACAGCCTCCATACAGCCTCCATACACACAGCCTCAGCACAGCCTCCATACAGTCTCCACTCAGTCTCCATACACACATCCTCCATACAGCCTCCATACAGTCTCCACACAAACAGCCTCCACACAGCCTCCACACAGCCTCCATACAGCCTCCATACACACAGCCTCAGCACAGCCTCCATACAGCCCCCATACAGCCTCCACAGCCTCCACACAGCCTCCATACAGCCTCCATACACACATCCTCCATACAGCCTCCATACAGCCTCCACACAGCCTCCACACAGCCTCCATACAGCCTCCACTCAGCCTCCACACAGCCTCCACACAGCCTCCATACAGCCTCCATACAGCCTCCATACACACAGCCTCAGCACAGCCTCCACACAGCCTCCATACAGCCTCCACACAGCCTCCATACAGCCTCCACTCAGCCTCCATACAGCCTCCACTCAGCCTCCATACAGCCTCCATACAGCCTCCATACAGCCTCCACTCAGCCTCCATACAGCCTCCATACAGCCTCCATACAGCCTCCACTCAGCCTCCATACAGCCTCCACTCAGCCTCCATACAGCCTCCACTCAGCCTCCATACAGCCTCCATACACACAGCCTCAGCACAGCCTCCACACAGCTACCATACACAACATGGTCTGTTCTTTATTGTTAGCTGGTAAAGAAACGCCAGCTAGTGTTCTCTTACTGCAGCCCAGCTCAGACCAGCCCAACCCAGCCCAACCCAACCCAGCCCAGCCCAGCCCAACCCAACCCAGCCCAACCCAGCCCAACCCAACCCAACCCAGCCCAACCCAACCCAGCCCAGCCCACCCCAACCCAGCCCAGCTCAGCCCAGCCCCTGTACGGCCAGTAAGGACTGAATTAGAGTACCTTTACCTCTGATACGCCACCAACTACTCTGTATGCAGGTGATAGGGAGGCCGTCCTCACCTGCACACACACACACACACACACACACACACACACACACACACACACACACACACACACACACACACACACACACATGAATATACACAGAGAAAGAGACTCCAAGAGCATGTCCACTGAGATACACAGACACAGAGAAACTCTCTGAAACATTCTGTCTGCTGACTATGACCCTGTGCACGGTACATCCTTAGGGAATGAAAAATCCTCTATTTCTCTCTACCAAGTATGAGGAAATGAAAAAAAAAAATACTTTTCTTTCAAATTAACACAACACAGCACCCCTGTAATGAGGGTAATCTGACTGCCATTCTCTAGAAACTGGACATTGACTTGTCAAAAACTGAAACTGAGATGATTGCATCCTCTAGATTAGTGACTAGACATTGACTCGTGTCAAAAACAACAACTGAATAATGACATGAGAAAAGACCACAGGAAACCCTACTGGGACTAATGACTCTGTGCAATCCAAAGTAACACGCTGACCACACCGCTCGCGTCGCGTGCTCGAAACGTTGCTAAATAAATGTACACATACATGTGATTCAATCACTGCACCCACACTGCTCGTGCGCGTCAACGAGCGTCTGTGTAGCCAGGCGCTAAAATAGAACTCGGTTCTATTTGTGACGCTTGACGCGCTGCAAGTCCCGCCTCTCCCATCTCCTCATTGGTTTTTAGGAGCATATACCCACGTGGGTGATTGAAAGATGAACTGAGGTCCACACTCCAGTCCAGTTGGTGATTGGGATTTTTCAGTAGACTATATTTAAATCTCTTCAGACTCAGTAGACTATAAGATAAACATAGTTAATCACAACATGACGAACACGGAGCCAGCGTTAAACATGGGAACATCTCTGTTGCCAGGCAAGAACTGAATTGGTTCCTCTCACTGGTGTAGTCATTGCCCTGCCTGGTGTCTGTGTGTGGGTAATAGGACTGTTTCTTCTTTTTTCATCTGACCTGTCTTCGGGTCGAATTCCTCGCTCCTCCCTAATCCACGGCTGTCCTGCCTTATCAGTGACTGAAACCAGACTGTTGCCCTTTGCCTCTCTCCTCAGGTATAGTCCTGGAACGGAGCCAGGGTCGAACAGTTCAGACTAAACATGGTTGATCACAGCATGAGGGGCGTTTACACTGGGTGATAAAGAGGGAGGAGGCTTGTATATGTTTGAGAGATTGATTATGGACCTGCCATGTTTTAAGCCATGTTTAAGTATCGATTGATAGGTTTGGGAATTAATTAGGGGGTCAGAACGGAGCTAGGAAAGGGCTCTGTTATTTTTGCATAACAGGGCTTGGGCCCACCACTATTGTTTCCAGACACGGAACTATATTGATTGTAATAAAGTCTATCTTAATTCTACAAAAACTCTGAAAGTACTTTGTGTTTGACTGAGGACAAAGACAATTTTCTACAACATTGGTGGTGGTAATGCACCTTAAAGTTGGTTGCCAACCACCATATAAAGTCCAAAGAAGAAGAAGCCCGAAGGAGGAGAGATTACTAGAAACTAACTCCGTTTACCTTTTTATCTGTGGATTAATTGACGGAGTAGAGGACCTTGTGCATTTCAGGTAAAATAACAACCCAATGTTTATATCCCAGGACAAATTAGCTAGCAACAGCAAGCTAGCTAGCTAAATTGCCATAAATGTTTAATGCTTTTCGTGTGTGCTGTCTGGTCAGCATGTAACAACTAGCAAACAACAAAGCAAGAAAACTTGCTCAAAGAAAGTCAAAACACATCTTCAATTGAAAATGAAAGAACATTCCTATCGGTAAAATTGTGCCAGCAAATACAAAAAGCCAGTCAAAAGTACAATTTTTTTTTTCAAACATCCTGTTGTTGTCAGGAATCCTGTTGGTGCTTTGAGTGGGACTAGAGAGAATAAAGGCCTCTCTGTCTCTCTGAGTACCATGTGCTGCTAAGGCTGTCTGTCTCTCTGAGTACCATGGGCTGCTATGGCTGTCTCTGTCTCTCTGAGTACCATGGGCTGCTATGGCTGTCTCTGTCTCTCTGAGTACCATGGGCTGCTATGGCTGTCTCTGTCTCTCTGAGTACCATGGGCTGCTATGGCGGTCTCTGTCTCTGCTGTCTCTGTCTCTCTGAGTACCATGTGCTGCTATGGCTGTCTCTGTCTCTCTGAGTACCATGGGCTGCTATGGCTGTCTCTGTCTCTCTGAGTACCATGTGCTGCTATGGCTGTCTCTGTCTCTCTGAGTACCATGGGCTGCTATGGCTGTCTCTGTCTCTCTGAGTACCATGTGCTGCTATGGCTGTCTCTGTCTCTCTGAGTACCATGGGCTGCTATGGCTGTCTCTGTCTCTCTGAGTACCATGGGCTGCTATGGCTGTCTCTATCTCTCTGAGTACCATGGGCTGCTATGGCTGTCTGTCTCTCTGAGTACCATGGGCTGCTATGGCTGTCTCTGTCTCTCTGAGTACCATGGGCTGCTATGGCTGTCTCTATCTCTCTGAGTACCATGTGCTGCTATGGCTGTCTCTGTCTCTCTGAGTACCATGGGCTGCTATGGCTGTCTCTGTCTCTCTGAGTACCATGTGCTGCTATGGCTGTCTCTGTCTCTCTGAGTACCATGGGCTGCTATGGCTGTCTCTGTCTCTCTGAGTACCATGGGCTGCTATGGCTGTCTCTGTCTCTCTGAGTACCATGGGCTGCTATTGCTGTCTCTGTCTCTCTGTTCTGTACCAAGACTGGTTGTTCTGTTGACTCCATAGAAATATAATAATCTCTAGAAGGGGCTTAGAGCCTCTAACCCTGGCAATTTGACTGGTAAACTCATTGGCACACTCGCCAGTTCACCCATTATGGCATCATTGACTTGAATGGGGAGGCCCGTTCTATTCGTTCTGTTGGTGTTGACTCACCCCGTCAGTGCCTGGCTGCAGCTGTCCGTTGATGCTGGCCGTGCGGAAGGGTGAATGTGTGGACAGGCGCTTGTCCCACTCACTCTGCTGCGGCTCCGGAACAGACTCCATGAAGCTTCTCTTCAGCTCACTGATACTGGTGTGGTGACGCATGATCTCTGTCTGGGTCTTATCCAGGTCCTGGGAGGAGGGAGAGGAGTGTGGAGAGACAGAGAGGGGGGGAAGGAGAGTAGGAGGGGTGGAGAGAGGGTGGAGGGACAGGGGAGGGAGGGCGAGACAGAGGGGGATGGGGTGAGAAAGAAAGAGAGAGAGAGAGGGGGGAGGTGGAGGGGGAGGGGGGTGGCGGGGAGAGGGGAGAGGGGAGAGAAAGAGAGAGCAAAGGGGGGGGGGGGGACCAAAGGGAAATAGAACGATTGGGAGAGCGGGGAAGATAAAGAGAGAGAGGGGGCAGAGGAGAAGTGCATGATAGATAAAGAGAGAGAGGGGGCAGAGGAGAAGTGCATGATAGATAAAGAGAGAGGGGGGGATAGTTTAAGGGTAAGGAAGAAAGAGATAGCAAGGAAGGGCAAAAGGGTGAAGCCCTCAGATTGGGAGGGGGTAGGGAGAAAGTATATCATTATTTGGGGTAGTGACTGGTAATGACACACTTACAAGTTTAGCAGAGTGCAACATGATTGATGATTTGCTTATCATATCAAACAAAATGCAGTTGGAAGTTGGAACAGGCCTTGTCCCTCACAAAGAGGACAACCAACATGACATGAACAGACTCTAACGGGCCTTAGTCCATCCAGACCACATGATGTTCTATAGACAAACAACAGACTGTCCTGGGTTCTCTCCACTCTGTTCCTTCCTCTGCAGATAGAACTTTAGACGATCCATCTCCGTCTAGTATCCGTGCCTATCCATATTCATGGTGCAGAAGGTGATTTTGAGTAATTGTCCATTACCAATCTATCACACGTTGGGATCGTGATCAGAGAGATAAAAGACAACACCCATTAGACTACAGTCTCCTGGCTAATAACTATTCATAAACCACGTCTGTTCTGAACAGGAGTTTTAATTTGATAATTATTTTGTTGCTGAGAACTTTCCTGCACAGCAGGAAATTAAAACGTGTAGTCTATTCGAGGTTTAAAAAGCCGTCTAAAGTTTGTCATTTCCACGTAAAAAATGTCGGACCTGATTCGCAGTAAAACATTTTTTTGATCAACCCCTACAAATAATATCCATTAAATATAATTCACGTAATATAATTCACATTTCCTATTGCTGAAGGATTATTTTCCTGCTGTAGCAAACGGGCTCAAATTAAGATCCTACAGCTGTATATAGAGCACTGCTTTAGACCAGGGCCCATAGGGAGCCCCATAGGGCTCTGGTCAAAAGAAGTGCACTGTATAGGGAATATGGTGCCATTTGGGACGGAGCCAGAGAGTAGAGAGGAGCTCTGAGAGGTAAACCATGGGGATAACATTGTCTTGCTTCACTACAGAGCACCGGTGTGGCTCCCTGCCAGTGAATGCTGGTGAAATGGTCCCATGGTACCTGAAGCCTAAAATGTTTTATCTGTCTGACAAAATCTGGTCTACATAAATGTAAGCTGTTGGTTTTGGCAGCTAGTGCTGCAGAGATCTGAGGCCAGGTTGGTCCCCCAATGTGTTTTTTTGCTTTTGTTTTTTACTTTGACCCCTTTTTCTCCCCAATTTCGTGATATCCAATTGGTAGTTACAGTCTTGTCTCAGCGCTGCAACTCCCCTACGGACTCGCGAGAGGTGAAGGTCGAGAGTCATGCATCCTCCGAAACACGACCCTGCCAAGCCGCACTGCTTCTTGACACACTGCTCACTTAACCCGCACCAATGTGTCAGAGGAAACACAGTCCGACTGACGACCGAAGTCAGCTTGCAGGTGCCCGGCCCGCCACAAGGAGTCACTAGAGCACGATGAGACAAGGAAATCCCGTCCGGCCAAACCCTCCCCTAAACCAGACGACGCTGGGTCAATTGTGCGCTGCATGCCTCAAACCCAACCCCCCTATTCTCCAACAGAGCCCCACCCCAATACCAGACTTAAAGCAGGTATGATATAAAATGAGTAATATAATCAAATAGTAAAATATATATATATATATTATAAAACAAAAAGTAAAAAAAAGTTAAAATAGTGATAGAAATTCTAATTTGGGTTGGTTTATAGAGCTGTGAAATTAGCAGGGTCCATTTCTTCTACAAAGGTTAGGAAAGGTTGCCAGATATTATAAAATGTAATTGCAGATCCCCTAACGGAGTAGCGTATTTTCTCTAGCTTGAGATGTTGCATAACTTCCTTTATCCAATGGCTAAAAGTAGGAGGAAACCGATCGAGCAGGAGGAAAAATAAATGGTTTATTCGGCCAATAGAGCGGTATCGCAGCAATGCGTAAAACAACTACAGTGCGGTATAACGGCGCACTGGAGAAAAACAAAACACACGGGTGAAATCCCGGCGATACAATACATACAGCTCCACCGAGCTATCGACACCTCCACATTAAATAATCCCACACAAAGACATGGGGGGCAGAGGGAATACTTCTACAGGGACTGATGAGGGGATATGAAACAGGTGTGTGTAAAACAAGACAAAACCAATGGAATGATGAGATGAGTGGCTAGTACGCCGGTGACGACGAACGCCGAAGCCTGCCCGAACAAGGAGAGGAGTGTCACGGTTTCGGCCGAGGCTGCTCCTCCTCCTTGTTCGGGCAGGCTTCGGCGGTCGTCGTCCCCGGAGTACTAGCTGCCACCGTTCGATGTTTCATGTTTGTTTGGTTTTGTCTGTTTGTACACCTGTCCCTTGTTAGTGTTTGATTTTGTTTCCTATTTAGTTATCGTGTGTTGGGTCAGGTGTTATGTGTGATTGTTATGTCAGCTGTTACTGTTGATGGGTTTTTTCTCTCGTATTGTTTGTTGTCGAGAGTCCGCACTGCGTGCGCCTTTTCTTGTTTTTACGCACTGTTGTGTGTGTGCGTAATTTGTTCTTGCCTCCCGGTTGGGTTGGCTATTCACCTGTTTGGAGTTCTATTTTGGATTACTAAAGTCTGTTGACGAACACCCTTGTTCCTGCGCTTGATTCCCTGCACCACATCCACACTCAGCGTTCTGACAAGGAGGCAGCTTCGAAGGGGCCTCCTGGGGCCTCCTGTGGTGCCAATCCGAATAATGAAATAATAATAATAATAATAATAATAATAAATAAAGGCAGAAGGTTTTATAGGTCTCTCCAGTATCTTAGAAAACGTCTCAAAAATGTATATCCAGAAATCTGTCAATTTCGGGCATGTCAAAAACAGGTGCAATACAGTAGCAGGAGCCTGCTTACATCGGTCAATTTCTGGTCTAATTTTGGATAATTTTGCCTTTGACCAATGCAGCCGATGAACTATTTTAAATTGTATTTTTATTTATTTATTAAAAGACCAGTTTACGGGGTCAGACATATATAATAGCATGTCATCCACATAGAGTGAGAATTTATGCTCTAAGCCCCCTCTTCCAATACCTTTGTTAGTGGAGTTATTACGTATTGCTATGGCTAAAGGCTCGATTGCGATGGCAAACAGCTGAGGGGATAGAGGACAACCCTGTCTTGTCCCACGTTGAAGTTGGAGATAGGATGAAAGGTTATTATTTGTGCGCACCTCAGCCATAGGGGAGGAGTAAAGGACTTTGATCCAGGACATAAAATTGGGACCAAATCCAAATAGTTTGAAAGTATAAAGAAGATAATCCCGCTCCACCCGATCAAACGCCTTCTCAGCATCAAGTGATAACAATTACTCTGAAGTGTCAGATGAAGAGGGATTATAAAGTATATTGTAAAGATGTCTGATGTTGAAAAAATAATTACGATTTTTTATTAAACCAGTTTGATCTGTAGAGATAATGGGAAGGACTCAAAACGGCAGGCAAGCATCTTAGAAAGTATCTTTACATCGCAATTCAGTAAAGAAATGGGCCTAAATGAACCAAGAGGGTGTTTTACCCTTTTCAGAATAAGTGAAATACATGATTGTGTCGTTGTTGAGGGTAAAGAGTTTGAGGAGAATGATTTCTCAAATACGGAAAGCAAGAGAGGAGAAAGTTGATCTGATCATTTTTTTTTTTAAGAATTTGATCAGAAATCCGTCGGGTAAAGGGGATTTACCACACTGAATAGATTTAATTGCCAACACAATCTCTTCCACAGAGAACTGTTCTTCCAATTCCAGCGGACTCCGAAGTGTATAATTGTGAGTAAAAGTTATGATAGCATGAATTTATCTCTAAATAATCAATTCATTTGTGTCACACCCTGGCTCTGGGACTCTATATGTTGAGCCAGGGTGTGTTCATTCTATGTGTTGTATTTCTTTGTTGGGAGTTCTAGTTTGTTTATTTCTATGTTGGCCTGAGTGACTCCCAATCAGAGGCAACGAGTGTCAGCTGTGGCTGGTTGTCTCTGATTGGGAGCCATATTTAACTCTCGGTTTTCCCTTAGTGTTTGTGGGATCTTGTTCCAGTTGGTTGTGTTTAGACTTAGGACGTCACGGTATCGTTTGTTGTTTTGTTATTCGTGTGTGCACTTTAATTAAATAAAGTATGTTCGCTCAACACGCTGCGCCTTGGTCTACTCGATACGACGATCATGACAATTTGTTACCCAGCTCGTCAGTTATCTCAGGGATGGTTTGATTGGTTCTCTGATGCAACTGGTGTGCTAGCATGTTCCCTTTACTTCTCTCCATGTTCATCATATTAGTATAGAGATCAAACTGTCTGAATTGTCAAATGTTGTTGTAGTAAATCTGCGGATGAAGACTGTGAATATGCTATATCCATATCCAAAATCCAAGATTTTATTTGTAAGTTCCCCTAGGCGTTGAATATTGCATTTCCTTAATCTTGCGCCGTACGAAATAATTTGGTCCCTTAGATAAGCCTTCATTGTTTCCCATACTGTCGTAGGAGACATTCCAGGGGCTTGAATTAGCTCAATTTGAGATGATATAAAAGCAACTTTTGGTAGCAGTAGTGCGTTAAGCCGCCAAGGGCGATAATTAGGCTGTGTATTTGGTATAAGTAGTTTCATAGTAAGGGGAGAATGATCCGAAATGACTATAGCTTGGTAATCACACTCCGTGATAAGTGGCAGAAATCTATTGTCTAGGAAAAAGTAGTCTATACGTGAGGTCTTATGAACTGGCTAGAAAAAATAATTCTCCCTAGCTGTGGGATTGCGGAAACGCAACGCATCAGATATGCCATACAGTGGGGAAAAAAGTATTTAGTCAGCCACCAATTGTGCAAGTTCTCCCACTTAAAAAGATGAGAGAGGCCTGTAATTTTCATCATATGTACACGTCAACTATGACAGACAAAATTAGGAAAAATAATCCAGAAATTGACATTGTAGGATTTTTTATGAATTTATTTGCAAATTATGGTGGAAAATAAGTATTTGGTCAATAACAAAAGTTTCTCAATACTTTGTTATATACCCTTTGTTGGCAATGACACAGGTCAAACGTTTTCTGTAAGTCTTCACAAGGTTTTCACACACTGTTGCTGGTATTTTGGCCCATTCCTCCATGCAGATCTCCTCTAGAGCAGCGATGTTTTGGGGCTGTCGCTGGGCAACACGGACTTTCAACTCCCTCCAAAGATTTCCTATGGGGTTGAGATCTGGAGACTGGCTAGGCCACTCCAGGACCTTGAAATGCTTCTTACGAAGCCACTCCTTCGTTGCCCGGGCGGTGTGTTTGGGATCATTGTCATGCTGAAAGACCCAGCCACGTTTCATCTTCAATGCCCTTGCTGATGGAAGGAGGTTTTCACTCAAAATCTCATGATACATGG